CCGTGAAGTACTGCACAGCTTCATCTATGCCTAATCGCATATGTCAGTCCAATTTATGTGAGTAAGCTTTTGAAATTGTTCCCAGTCGGCTTTGTTCACCAGCCATTTGGGAACATGTGGCAGACATTCATATATTATTGGTGTACTCAAAACTAAAGGAAAATGGTCACTTCCGTATGGATTATTTATGACTTTCCACTGAAGTAATGGTACAAGTGAAGGAGATGCGATACTGAGGTCTATGGAAGAGTAAGTTTTGTTGGCAAGGTTATAGTATGTTGCCTCTTTCCTATTCAACAGACAAGCACCCGATGAAATGAGGAATTGTTCAATGAGACGACCTCGGGCATCACAGCGAGAGTCACCCCACAGACCACTATGTGCGTTCAGGTCCCCAAGGACCAGATAAGGTTCAGGTAGTTCGTCGATTAAACACTGGAATTGAAGTTTTTCGAGACGGTGGTGCGGAGGTATGTACAAAGAGCAAACAGTGACAAGTTTGTTTAGAATAACTGCTCGGACAGCCACTGCCTCGAGGGAAGTTTGAAGGGGTAATTGTGTGCATGCTATACCTTGACTTACTATAACCGCTACACCACCGGATGGTAGCATGGCATCATCTCTATCCTTTCGGAAGATTATGTAGTTACGTAAAAAGTTTGTGTTAGTTCGTTTTAAGTGTGTCTCCTGTACACACAGCACTCTTGGATTGTGTTCATGGAGGAGTTCTTGTAAGTCATCGAGGTTTCGAAGAAGGCCTCGGATGTTCCACCGTAATATTTCTGTCTGCATATTTAAACAAGAGAAATACTGCTGTGTGTACAAAGAGTATCCCGTGTTGGAGTGAGCTCGTTAATTCAGGTGGCAGGACGGTCGTCCGGCCCCGTTATTGGTTTTTTATTTTTCTTAACGCGCTCCAAGGAGGCGCACCGCTCTTTTGGTACCAAGGGTACCGTTGTATCCATTGCCTCCCCAGAGGCACTGGTTGCCCGCACATGCGAGCTGGTGGTTCGAATTTTAGGCCTCGCCTGGTGAGGGGAGGCCTTGAGACCAGAGGACCCTGGAGTCTCCGGCCTCAATCTGCTTGGAGGCGGAGTAGACTGAACTACTGCCGCCTTGGGGGCAGGTGCCACAGCCGTCGGCTCGCTCTGCGCTGGCCGAAGGAGTGACGAGGGCTGGTGCGGCGTTGCCCCCTGACGCGCCGCATCAGCATATGTAGCGCCATAAAATGGTGACACTCTTCGTCTTGCTTCCTTGAATGTGATATTTTCTTTAATTTTCAATGTGATAATTTCTTTTTTCCAAAATGAGCAAGACCGTGAGTATGCGGCATGATTTCCGCCACAGTTCACACAGTGTGATGGTTCTTCGCAATTGTCAGAGTTGTGGCCTGACACTCCACATTGTGCACAAGTTTGGCGACCACGACAGCTTTGTGAGCCGTGGCCATACTTCTGGCATTTGAAACAACGACGTGGGTTAGGTATGTATGGTCTGATCGATGTCTTAGTGTACCCTGTTTGAATACTTTCTGGCAGATTACTGGAAGCGAACGTGAGTATTAGGTGTTTTGTTGGTGCTACCTTGTTGTCTCTTCTAATGGTGATCCTTTGTACATTGGTCACATTCTGACTCTTCCACCCCTCCAGAAGTTCGTCTTCAGTCAAGCCGAGCAAATCAGCATCAGATACTACTCCACGGGTTGTGTTCATGGATCTGTGTGGCGTTACAGTGATGGGAGTGTCACTAAAAGTTGAAAGATTCTGTAGCTTTTCAAACTGTTATTTTTCTCGAACTTCAAGGAGGAGGTCTCCGCTGGCCATTTTGGTAACTTTGTACCCGGCTCCTAGAGTTTCTGTGAGACATCTGGCTACTACAAAGGGGGATACAGTTCTGGCTTGCTTGCTGCTTATCTCACTATGTATAACATGAAAATGGGGGAAGTTCTCAGTTGATCGGTTGATTGATTTGATTGATTATTGGGGTTTAACGTCCCAAAACCACCATTTGATTATGAGAGACGCCGTAGTGGAGGGCTCCGGAAATTTTGACCACCTGGGGTTCTTTAACGTGCACCCAAATCTGAGTACACGGGCCTACAACATTTCCGCCTCCATCGGAAATGCAGCCGCCGCAGCCGGGAATCGAACCCGCGACCTGCGGGTCAGCAGCCGAGTACCTTAGCCACTAGACCACCGCGGCGGGGCTCAGTTGATCGGTTGAAAAATCCTAAGTCTTCGGTGCGTACACGCTTTAAGGCGGTACGATCACTTAATAATGGAAATGCTCTATGCATGCCAGTTTAATTTTCTTCAGAAGCGTTGGCGGCCACCCACCACGGAGCCCAATGAGGGGACGCTACAAGTTTGCGGGTGCTAAAACCTGCAGACGCCAGCCGTACAACGCTACTATAACCCAATGCGCCTAGACCAAGGTAGGCTATTTGCACAGGGTTAACCCTAGCCGCCAGGAAGTTTGGAAGTAAACAGAAGAGAGGAGAAGACAGGACAGATAAAAAGTGAGGGATAAAGACGAAGATGTAGGGAGAGAGAGATAGGAAAAGGCGACTGCCGATTTCCCCTGGGTGGGTCAGCCCAGGGGTGCCGTCTACGTGAAGCCGGGGCCAAAGGGGTGTGTTGCCTCTGCCGGGAGGCCTTAAAGGTCCAATCACCCAGCGTCGGCTCAACCCCCAGGATCCCCTTTTCCCCGGACACGGCAAAGCCACGCACGGCTAGGCGTGGGAGGGAGTAGAAACTCCCCCGTTAGCTCGGGTCAGTGTGGTGCGAGAAGTCGAACCATGAACCTAGTGTTTCCGGTGTTCGGACAACGCTTAGCGCCTGATTCGGTACCTTGTATTCTAGACATATTTCTTCAAACGCAGGAGAAGTGGTCTTATTGTGTGCGGTCTGTTGTTGTATTGTATTCTGGTACCGATGTGAGAGACAATAGTGTGACATATGTGGCTTAGTTTTGATCGGGTTCTTAATAAATAGGATACAGTAAGTAGCACTCTTCTTTGTTCCAGGCAAGGCTCGTTGCTTTCAGCATATAAGCTCTGGATGGGAGAAGCTCTATACGCCTCAGTCGCCAAGTGCAACCCATGATTATGTATTGGGTCAAGACGTTTGAGCTAAAATTTTCTGGCTGACCCGCAAATAACGCTGCCATAGTCAAGTATGCTGCGCGCAATTGAGCGGTACTATATGCGTGAAAGGCAGACTCTATCGGCACACCCCCAGTGTTTCCATGATAGTATTTTCAGGATGGTGAGCGGCTTGTTTGCTTTCTTTTTTGTGTAATTTATGTGGGAAATGAAGTTTAGTTTTCTGCCAAAGACTGGACCCAAGAACTGGTGTTCTGACTTGAGTGGCAGTACACTATTGTTTATTTTAAGAAAAGGGTCCGGATACAAGCCGCGCTTTTGCGAGAAAAGTATGGTAACGGTTTTCTGAGTAGAAAAGCGAAAGCCGTTTCGATCTGCCCATTTGGTCAGTTTGTTGATGGTTAGCTGCAGCTGCCTCTCACATGTGGGTATGCTTGAGGCCCGACATGCTATCTGAAGATTGTCAGCATATAGCTGTCTCTGTGTTAGACACAAAAACAAATTTTTTAAAAAAGAAAGAACCAAGGCATGCACAACACAACCCCGCTGTTACGTTTCTTGGGGATAACAGAAAAACGAAAACATAAGATCCTAGAAAACGTAACATCCTTAATTAAACAGTTTTTTGCCTGCAGGTTAAGTTTTGTGAATGAGCAAAGCTGTATAGAAAAGAAGGTGAGCAAAATGGCAAAAACATGGTGCATGTCAAGGGCAAATGGTGCACTGGTTTCTGCACCCTTTAAGAAGCATATGTGCATGCATGCAAGTTCCCAACCAGCAGTTTGCCATCTGACTACTATACTCCAAGAGCACAGAACAGGTGATACCCTTAGTCCCTGTAAAATATCGCCATGCAACAGGCGCTGACTGTCTCAGCGATGACATGTAGCACTCAATGCAGGTGCCATCAAATTTATGGACATGACTGGAAAACACGAAGGTCATACATATGACCCTATGGCAATTAGGTAAGTGGAACTGCTTTTTCAGAGCATAGAAATTGAAAAAAATGTATCAACGGCAACATATGAACAAAGCTGTATAGCAGGTCACATTTTTTCAAGGCACGACTCTCCAATATTGTTGACTATAGAACTTAACACTTCCTTAACATTTCCAGTTAAAGTTACACACAGATCTAAAAGATACTCGTACAATCTAAAATATATTTGGTATAACTGTGGTTTTAGCACACAAAGAAACACAAAGGAACACAGGACAAAGTGCTTGTCCAGTGTTTGTCTGTTTCTTTCTGTGCTAAAACCACAGTTACACCATGTACAACCAACTAGACCAAGTTTCGATTCTGTTAAAAGATACTCAATCAACCTTATTTCAGATTTCCGAGGTAAGTTTATAGAAGCAATTATGATGACAAAAAAACTCCACAATTTGCATTACCCACCAAAAAGTATGGGTGCACGAAAAGATTTGCTTATACACCACGCTAACACATAAACCATTGAGCTATTTAGACTGAACATTTGGAAAAAAATGTGCTAGCAGCTAGAGAAATGTCCGATGTCATTAGAGCCCCTCAAGTGAACAATTATTAACACTCTGAAATTACAGTACACAAAGCACAAATGACTGTGACTTTGCCAGTGAACTGTCTAAAGATGAGGCAACATTAGTACAATAACGTTATCTTATAATAAATAAAAAACACTTATTATAGCAGCAGCACAGGAAGAATGAAGACATAACGAACATGAAACAAGCATCTGAACATGAATACAAGCATCTTTCTTACATTTCTACTGTCCTCACCTTCCTTGCACTGCTGTTCCAGTACTATGCTGAACAAATCAGCCCACCTGTCTATACACATTTCTATGTACTTGTATTTCGCACTTTCTACAAGGTAAAGTGAATTAAAAGAAAGAAATAAAGTTACCTGGCGACGTAAAGAAATGATTTCCAACTGGAGCATGTTCTCAGTGCGTGTATATTTTGCCTTCAGGTTGTCCATTTGCTGCTTAAATTCTGTCAAGAGCTTTTCAAGAAACAAATTTTTCTCAGAAAGGTCTTCCTGAAACATTAAAAAATATTGTACAGACCGTTCAAACCAGTAAGGTATCATCTATATTCCAAGTCTTACCTCACGGGTCTTCGTAACACAGCCTGGGTTAGATGAGAGTGACCTCGTGTCCTCCTCCTGAATAATCATGACTGTTGTTGGTTCTTCTGCGGTATTTGGTGACCCAGAATTTTCAGGGGGCTCTTCAGTCATATCAACCGTTACTGCTGCAATGAAAAGTTTTAGCATAACGTATAGTAACAGGACATTACATAAGCATTGCTCACTCAACACTGCAGATAGTTTGTGAACAATGATGATATATAGTGTTTTTTGGCGCTAGGGCCATTTGATGGCCAAAGAGCGCCAGTTCATGGGACAAGGAATGTGGACAATGATTGTCATTAGCGGCTGTATAAGGGCCATTAAATTCCTCGCAGTAAGGCGGGTAAAATCATACAAGTAATAAAATCATGACTATGCCGTGAAAGGTGTGCGTGGTGTGAATGGGTGACAAAAGTTGGTGATAATGAAAAACGATGGTGGACATGTATGGCATTAGCACAAGTATCTCACTTGTTCATACCCTTGCGTCGAAGGGCCGTGAAGCAAGTGCTTTCCTGTGTAGCCACCGCAGCAAAAACCTCTCTCGAGAGGTTGTGCTACGGAACGCCCGGGTATATGATATAAAAATTATGAGTTTCTTTTAAAAACGCTAACAATGATTTATGACTAAAAAGCGGTTCCCTACCAACGAACATTGCAGGGTGTAAAGGTATGTGTTGTCGGCAGGGTAATGGAAAGTGTTGTCTTCTTAGAGTGTCTAACTGTTTACATTGGATTAAAACGTGAAGAACTGTTAATGCCTCACCACATTTATCACACAATGGGGGATCACCACCGGACAAAAGATGTGTGTGTGTCGTGTATGTGTGTCCTATCCTGAGTCTTGTTAGTGTTACCTCTGTTAGATGTGATTTTGATACTGGTGGCCAATGGCCAAGGTGTGGCTTGATAACGTGTAGTTTGTTTTGTGTGTGTTTATCCCACTTGCTCTGCCAGTAGTCCCTGAGGTTTCGTTTGAGAGACGGCTTAAGATCAAGGACCGAGATTGATATGGGTGTAGGGGCAGTGCTTTTGTGGACGGATGCAGCGAGCTGATCCGCCCTCACGTTGCCTTGGATCTCACGGTGCCCTGGCACCCAGCACACTACAACATGTTGGTTGAGTGTGTAGAGTGTGCAAAAAATGGAGTAAAGTGAGACAAGGACAGGGTTTTTTTGTTTTTTAAGACTGTGCAGAGCCGTTACCACACTGAGGGAGTCTGTATAAATTACTTCTTTTTGTATTTGTAATTGTTTGATGTGTTTAGCTGCCACAAGTATCGCCTAAGCTTCCGCTGTGAAGATACTTGTGCCTGGATGTAGAGGGCCAGCATCCGAAAAGGAAGGGCCAACAGCAGCATAGGACACAGAGGAGTTGGACTTAGAGGCATCTGTGAAGAACTCAGGACGTGTGTATTTGTGTTGAAGTTCCAGGAAGTATGTTCGGATATGAACAATAGGCGCATGTTTTGTAACTTCTAGAAAAGACACATCGCAGTCTATAGTCTGCCATTGCCACGGTGGCGGGTATGCTACAGGAGCCATTAAACTGTGTTCAAGTGAGACTCCAGTTTCCTCAGCTAGACTCTTCAGGCGAACTGAGAAGGGCTGCCTCATCGAAGGCCTGTTTTGAAACAGAGTTGAGCTCGACAAATCATTAATTGTAGAGTATGAGGGGTGCTTCTTGTCTGCTTTCACTTTAAGGAAATAAACAAAGGACATGTAAGTTCTCTGCAGATGAAGCGACCACTCATTTGACTCAATGTAAAGGCTTTCTACGGGGCTGGTGCGAAAAGCACCCGTAGAAAGGTGGATGCCCAAATGGTGCATGGGGTCCAGCATCTTCAAGGCACTTTGAGTAGCAGACTGATAGACAACGGCCCCATAATCTAAGCGGGTGCGAATGAGGCTTCTATACAGGTTCATGAGGCATTGCCTGTCACTACCCCACGTAGTACGTGACAACACTTTTATAATATTCATGGCTTTTAAACATTTTGTTTTTAAATACTTGATGTGTAGTAAGAATGTCAACTTGTTGTCCAAGATTAAGCCTAAGAATTTATGCTCCGCATTGACGGACAGACGTTGCCCGTTCAGTCGAATGTCAGGTTTTGAGTGCACGCCTCTCTTTCGGGAGAACAAGACACACGTGCTTTTTTCTGGGTTCAGCCGGAATCCGTTTTCCTCTGCCCATTTGGAGAGCTTGTTTAAACCTAACTGAACCTGTCGCTCACACATTGCTAGGTTGCATGACTTAAAGCCAAGCTGGATGTCATCGACATATGTGGAATAGAACATGTTGCGGGGGATGGACAGGTGCAAGGAATTCAGTTTTAATAATAAAAAGTGTACAACTAAGTACACCACCTTGCGGTACTCCCGTTTCTTGCACAAATGTTTGGGAGAGAATACTGCCCACACGGACGCGGAATTTCCAATTGGACAAGTAACTCTCGATTATGGAAAGGATTCTACCGCGCACACCCAGGTGAGACAAGTCTCTTAATATGCCAAAACGCCATGTTGTGTCGTAAGCCTTCTCGATATCGAGAAACATTGAAAGGAAGTATTGTTTGTGGACAAAAGCGTCTCGGATCTGTGCCTCGATACGCACCAGATGGTCGGTGGTGGATCTACCCTCTCGAAACCCACACTGGAACTGGTCGAGCAGATTGTGTGTTTCAAGGAAATGTAAAAGTCGGCGGTTTATCATTTTTTCAAAAAGTTTACAAAGGCAGCTGGTTAGTGCAATGGGCCTATAACTTGAAACTGAGGAAGGGTCCTTACCCTGTTTCAAAATAGGGATAACAATAGCCTCTTTCCAGAAAGCAGGGATGGTGCCAGAAAGCCAGATAGCATTGTATAGAGAGAGTAAAGTTTTTCGCGTTTTAGGCGGCAGGTTTTTCAACATTTCATACGTGACGCGGTCGTAGCCTGGTGCAGAATTACTGCTAGAGTTTAGTGATGTTTGTAGCTCAGCTAAGTTGAAAGGTTGGTTGTATGCCTCGTGTTTTGTGCACTTATATTCTAGTTTCTGTTTTTCTATCCTTGCTTTATATCTTTGGAAAACTTCAGTATAGTGTGCCGAGCTAGACACTTGCTCGTAGTGTGCACCGAAGAAGTTCGCCTAATCTTCCAGGCTGTCACCCTGTGTGTTTACGAGTGGGAGTGAGTGTACTTGACTTCCTGCTACCCTACGAACCACGTCACAGACTTTAGCCTCTTGTGTATATGAATTTATTCCTGATAAAAACTTGTGCCAGCTTTCTCTTCTGGCCTGCCGACGCGTTCTCCTGCCTCGACATTTTATTTTCTTAAAGCTCTCAAGGTTTTTCGCCGGCGAGTTGCGCAGCAACCTCCACGCTCTGTTCGGTTCCTTTCGCGCATTCTGACACTTAGTGTTCCACCACGGAACGTGTCGCTTGCCAGGCAGTCCAGATGTTTGTGGAATGCACTTGGCTGCTGCGTCAGTAAGAAAAGCCGTGAAGTACTGCACAGCTTCATCTATGCCTAATCCCCATATGTCGGTCCAACTTAAGTGTGTAATCTTTTGAAATTGTTCCCAGTCGGCTTTGTTCACCAGCCATTTGGGAACATGTGGCAGACATTCATATATTATTGGTGTACTCAAAACTAAAGGAAAATGGTCACTTCCGTATGGATTATTTATGACTTTCCACTGAAGTAATGGTACAAGTGAAGGAGATGTGACAATGAGGTCTATGGAGGAGTAAGTATTGTTTGCAAGGTTATAATATGTTGCCTCTTTTCTATTCAACAGACAAGCACCTGATGAAAAGAGGAACTGTTCAATGAGACGACCTCGTGCATCACATCGACAGTCACCCCATAAACCGCTGTGCGCATTCAGGTTCCCTAGAACCAAATAAGGTTCTGGTAACTCATCTATTAAAGACTGGAAATCATGTTTTTCCAGGCGGTGTTGCGGCGGTATGTATAGAGAGCAGATGGTGACGAGCTTATTCAATAAAAGTGCTCGAACAGCCACTGCCTCTAGGGATGTTAGTAGTGATAGATGACTACATGCTACTCCTCGATTAACAATAATGGCTACACCACCAGATGACGCCCCAGCATCATCTCTGTCCTTTCGGAAGACAACATATTGACGCAAAAAATTTGTATTCTTGGATTTTAAGTGTGTTTCTTGTACACACAGCACTTTTGGAGAATGTTTGTGTAGAAGTTCTTGGACATCATCGAGGTTTCGAAGTAGTCCTTTGACGTTCCATTGCATAATTTGTGTCTCCATTATGGGAGTAAAGAAATGCTGTGTGTACGAAATGAGTGTAGCTGGTGTCTAAAGAAAGAAGTGACGGTAATTACAGAGCCTTTAGAAGGCCCTGTAATTACCATTTTGTCTTCTTTAGAGCGGTCGAGGGAGCCCCGTCGCTCCTTTGGTGAAGTCTGCGCCGGTGCAGTTGATGTGTCCATCGCCTCAGGAGAGACGACAGATAATGTTGTTTTCGTTGTAGGCTTCGTCGTGACAGACGGAGCCTTAAACCCCACCGGGCTGGAGGTCGAGGGGATCTCTTTATTGTGTGGTGCCCTGGCTGCTGCCAAGGTTCACAGGGGCGTTCGGTGGGGCTGTATTCAAGGAGGGTGGGGCAGCCGAGGCTGCTCCCCCCATGGGGGCTTGTGGCGTTTGCCTCGGCACGCTGGGCGTGGTCCAAGGCATTGCCGAAAACCGAAGTGGTGCTGACCCCCCTCGCACCACTTCCGCATACGATGTGTTCCCAGCAAAATGCGGGAAAACGCGCTGCCGCGCTTCACAGAAGCTTATGTTCAATTTAAACTTTGTATTAATAATTTCTTTTTCCATTTTCCAGGCCACGCATGACCTGGAGTATGCAGGATGGTCACCCTCACAGTTTGCGCAGTGGACTTGTAGCTGACAGCCATCGTCAGCGGTATGACCTTTGGTGCCACATTTCGCGCAGGTAAGCTGTCCTCGGCAGCTCTGGGAGCCGTGCCCGAACCTCTGACACTTAAAGCAGCGCTGTGGGTTAGGTATGTATGGTCTAACTGGCAGTTTAAGATATCCTGTTGCTATTTCAGTGGGGAGGGTGCTAGATGCGAAAGTTAGTATGATGTGCTTC